CACCCTCAGAATTACGCTTTCTCATAATTTCTACTCTCCGGTGGTCTTCATTCTCACCTTAGAAACAAAAGCAAAATCAAACTAAATAAATTTTTGGATCTTTTAGCCCCCATTTTAAGTGTTTTAAAGCAAAGGAGGTTTGTCTTCACATCAATGTATCATATTGCCAGAAACAGCAGGTCTCATTTAGTTTTTTAATTACTTACCCAAAATATTAGCATGATCTAGGTAAGTGCTAAAATGACTAGCCACCCAGACCATGTCTAAGCAATCATGTCTACCCCTATCCTGCCCACAGCTACTGTAGAAGCGGGCAGGGAGAGAGGCAGCCTGTCAGACTGTGAGTCGGTTATTTATTGATCTCAGTCAGGCAGAGAATTCAATATAGGCTAGGTAAAAAATACTGACTCACAAGCATATGCCCTCTGGCAAAGAAGCTTCCAGAATATACTAAGGCCTACAATAACTTCTTATTCCTATTGGTTTTAAATAAACTGGTACCCCGCACCAGCAACAGCTTTATATTTTATTGTAAGGCAATAAAAAATTATGTAACTCCCCAGGAGCCCACATAAAATATTTTGTCTTTCAAAACAGTTCTTGTCCAGTATTATATGAGTTTTCAGGATCAGTCAAGGTTTCTTCTCACATAATAATCTTAGATATAGTCCCTCAGGGAAAGAAATGTATTGCAATTATAAATTTCAATTAACCATCATATCTTGGTAACAGTATTTTCTAGGTCTCCAGGCAAAATAAAGTCCAGCTGTTGGAATTAGTATCTCAGTTCTCTGCTTCACTTTCATAAAGGAAACATTTAATATACATAACAATCTCATAAAATTCAAGATAAAATGGCAAAGGAAGTCAAGGAAAGTAGCCAGATTCTTGAATTTTTCTAGTTGCAGAATGTTAAAGAAATCCGGGCTGTATGATGATATTCTCGTGACTTCTTATAATTTTACCTAGACAGCTCTTGTAACTGTTGCAGAGAACACCTTATACAGGATTGGACCACATGAAATTGGTGATATTCAACTATTTTTGACCTTCAAATTTAGAAATCCTATAGGCTCAACCGAATATTTTGTCTTCCCCGTTAAAATTATTCTTGCTTATCTGGAAACCATGAAGTTAAAACGTAGTGGAATAGAAGCCATTCTATGGGTTTATGGAGCATAAAAAGGTGATCTGGGCAGACGTGTTCACAAGAAATAAATTTCAATATGCACACTTTTCTTTAAGGATCACCAGCAAAACCCTCTGTGGTATGCCAATGGTGTCAACTTTTGCTTAGATGTTCACCTATAACTGTGCCTCTGATACTCTGTGGTTCTTTTCAGCTATGCCGCATTCTTCTGATTCATTTTTCTCCATTTGTGCTGTTTCTCTCTGTGATGTGAATCCACCCCTATCCATTATGTCATACCTCCATCTTTTGCTGCTTCTTCAGATTGCACTGAGCCGTAAGAGGTAAGCGCCATCAAAAGAGGGGAAATGACTTTCTTTTATGACCAGGAGGAATCCTTTGTCCAAGGTATTCCACCACAGCCCCCCCAAAAAGCAATAGCTTCTAAACTACACTTTAGAAGGAACTCATGATGACAACAATTCTTCACAGCCCCATCCACACCAGAATTCCTCGAATGCTGTTGCCTCCACATTGCAAACTCAATACTTGTTGCTAACTAAGGGTCTTTTGCTAGGGTGCGCGTAAGCATCCTTAGCTTTGTGTCTCAACATCTCTTTCAGTTATCTGTATGGGAATAGGCATACTCTAATGCCCCAGAAGGTGTTGTCATTCACTGCCATCTTGGAAATAGAATGTCCAATCTTGCTTTCATCCGCTGGGCTTGTAAGGATGATTTCCAAAAGGATTTGCATGAGTCTGTGTCACCATTACGCCTTTAAGGCAAACAGTGACCTTTCCAAATGTCACTGAGTTTGGCCATTTACATGGATCAGATTTATTAGATAATAGCCAACCATCCACTTAATGTTATGCTTCATAGTTAATCAGAATTATTCTCTTGTTGATTTCAAGTTTATTTCCAAACTTAGATTCAAATTTCCCAAGGCCAGTAACTGAGAATATCTGAGTTTTAGCATGAGAAGTTTTTGAAAGCAGAGAATTTAAATTGCTTTTCATTCAAAAATGCCTCCAGCTTCCTAAGCAACTGAAATTATTGTGGGGCAATATCTTTTACATATTCTTTTTTTCTAAAGAAGGCAAGTCAATCCACATAGGAAGATTTAGATACCACTATTTGGATTGTTCATTCATCTATTGTTAATTGTTTCAGTTGTCCTCTAATAGTTAGAGGCAAGAATATGACCCTCGATCCTTTACATATGGTTTAGGTTAAGTTTTACCCTTGTTAATCCTGAAGGAGTAGTCAGAGCAAGCTGCCATTTCAACAGTGTTATTTTTGTCTTCCTGTCATTAAGCTTTGAATTCACATTGCTTTATGTTGGGACTGTGTCATATTGTGACAGGCTAAGAATAAATTTGCATCACTTGCCTTGACCTCTAGACAGGAAGTCTTTTTTAGAAACAGATGTTCCAACCTTTTCCCAGACGCAAATTAGCATATGTGAAATGTTTAGTGAAATACATAGTTAATACAAGAAAGAGCAGATACTTACTTCTGTAGGGCATGACACCTCAGTATTGATGGGTTTAATGCAGAAAGTCATTCCACGCTTTGCCATCTCAAGTTTTTCTGTCCCTGTGACTTACTTCTACGTCTTGGCCCCCATGCAGTTGATGACCGATCTTCGTCATTTGTATCCATCTTGTGTTAGTGAGAGAGTCTCACTGTTAGTGTCCATGTCGTAGTCTGTCATTTCACGTAGCTTATCTTGACATGTTGTGGCAATCTGTAACTTGCTTTGTAAAATTAAGTTCCCTCATAAACATATTTCTTATTGGAATTTTTGAGGGTTGCATTTAAGATGTGGACAATGAGGAAATGCTTGAGGGGCTAACTTACTTGAGTCACTTAGTGTGTTTGAAATACTGTGGGACTCAAAAATATGAAGTAACCAACTTTGCCTGAACAAGAAAGGGATTTAGGAAGGCTTCTCAGAGGAGGTGACTAAATTGAATCTTAGAAATGGGAATTTTCTGGATGTAAAGGCAAGCCATGGAGACAACATACGAAACTATCTGAGATGTTGTGTTTGAGAGACTACAAATAGTTTGACATTTTTGGATCATAGAGCACTTGACATAGGGATGGAAAGAGAGATGAACCAAATCACAAAGATTGGATATTACTATTCATTACATAGTTGAGGTGGATGGTGCTTGTAATCAATTTTAAATGGGAAAGAATATATTTACATATGAGGCAGGACCCCCAAAAAACTGGAATTATTTTTTGGAAGGAGGGTCCCTTATAGAACAGGCTTCCTGCAATAGGTAAGTGTTCTAGTAACCCACTGGAATCAGTGTACCAGCTAACGTTGTAGAGGCTGCGTTGGACTTCAGTAAAGTTTTTTTGGAGACTCAAAGCATTTGCCCATTTCATGATAGGTGAATTATGAGCATACCTGCCCACACCACGTTCTGTTTTGAGCAGTTTTGGATCAAAACAGCTAGGCCCTCATGGCCCACTCTCCCTATTCACCTGATCTCACCATGAGTGACTTTTTTGTTTCCAAAGTCTGAGTAATCCATTTTTATTAGGTAACTCCACAATGATGAGTAATATTGTGATTTATTTTTTTTAAAATTGACACAAGTCAAAATACATGAGTAGTTGGTATATATTTTTCTTATGACCTATTGGCTTTCTATGAAAAACTTTACATGCCTTTTTCACTTAACTTTTTTTTTTTAACTTTTAAAGATTTTAGTAGGTATTTGATTCTTACCAGTTTCTGGGTATCAACTAAAAGCCTGTTTCTTCTTTTATTTTTTCCAAGAACATCTTGACATGACAAGATAGAGCCATATTTTTCTTAAAAGAAAAGCTCTGTTTCTCATTTATCAATTAATAATCTCCTCTTTGTTGAATATTTTCAATTAAAACCATGCCCATTCAGCAGAATCTGGTTTGTTACTAATGACAAAAGGAAAAGGAAAAAAAAGACTTGTTCAACAAAATCTTGTAAGCACTTCCTTTTCTTAATGGCCAAAGTATGCAGAAAAAGTTACAGCTCTTTGGAACATACAGATTGCCATAGATAAATGACTATTGTTGGTACAAAAATCATTGTTGACACCATTGGTTAAAATAAGACTAGTTCTAGAAGTGAAGTATGTGTTTCATCATGTTAAAATTTTATATTCAAAAAAAAGCTTTGGCCAGGTGCAGTGGCTCATACCTGTAATCTTAACACTTTGGGTAGCCAAAGCAAGAGAATTGCTTGAACGCAGAAGTTCGAGACCAACCTGGGCAACAGAACTTTTTGTCTGTTGTAGAAACCTTGGCTTTTGTAGAGACAAGGTCTCTACACAAAAATCAAAAAAATTAGTGGAGCATGGTGGTACTCACCTGAGGTCCCAGCTACTTGGAGGCTGAAGTAGAAGGATCCTCTGAGTCCAGGAGTTGGAGGCTGCGGTAAGATGTGCTTCTGCCACTGCACTCCAGCATGCATGACAGAGTGAGAGTCTGACTCAAACAAAGAAAAGAAAAGTTTCATATTTAAAATACAAAAATCTCATTCATGGTCATATTCAAATTCCGTTTGTCCTTAAGTATACAAAGAGGAAGGTACCTACTTACATGAGATTCCTAAGACGGAGGGAGGAAACAACACAGAAACCTGCTTAAAATGTCTGTTTCTTCAATATCCAACTTTCTTTGGGGGTTTCGTTTTCCAGATTTCTCACTACTGTGTTGGCACAACCTGGGGAAAATGGCCAAAATAAATCAAAACATGGAGACTCAAATAAACTGAAAAATATGTCGTAATTTCCTTTAATACCAATTTACAGCTATTGTTCATTAATCTCGCATTATTTTCCCCTCAAAAAACCTCACACAGGAAGCCCCTGTGGTGGCCAGAGCAGCCTTATTTCTGGAATGTGCCCGTTTTGTTCACCGCTGCAACCGTGGCAACTGGCCTGAGTGGATGAAAGGACATCACGTGAACATCACCAAGAAAGGTCTTTCCCGGGGACGCTCTCCCATCGTGGGCAACAAGCGAAATCAGAAACTGCAGTGGAATGCGGCCAAACTCTTCTACCAATGGGGGAGACGTGAGCTTTCGATTTTCATCCCTCACAACTAGGGTGCTTGAGTGAAGGGGAGAAGTTTTGTGATTGATTGTGTTCATTTTAAAGACAATTTATGAGTGTTTGTTATGTACCAGGCAGTGAAGGAAACGCCTTGGGGAAAAATAAACTCATATAATCTTCCCAATAAATTTATGAAGTTAGACATTACCACCTTTGTTTTACAATTCAGAAAACTGAGGTTTATACAGATCAAGTGACTTGCCAAAGTTTACATATCTATTAAGTGGAGAAACCAGTATTCCGTCTCTTGTGTTGAAAACAAAAGTCTTGCTTTTAATTATTATATTCATCAACAATCATCTTTATGAAAAAAATCATTGTCGTAACTGTTAAATAGTCACGCCTTTGTTTTGGCTTTCTATTCTAATTTATCTTTTCCAAGACATATTTTTTCTGATTTTTTTCATTGATGTCCCTCCTATAAATTTGCCTGAAAGTCATTGGAAATCTCTCTCTCTCTCTCTCTCTCTCTCTCTCTCTCTCTCTCACACACACACACACACACCACGTATGCATATGAATAAGTGAATAAATTTAAAAATGGATGAATGAGACTTCTCTAGGAATGCTAATAAAATGAACCCTTAAAATAATTTCAACTACTTTACCATAGAAAGAAAAAAGGTGAAGAATTAAACAAATAATCAAAAGGACTAAGTTCCTTCTGTTAATTTTAAATAGAGTCAAACCCAAACACACATAAAGAAGGCTCCATATATTATTATTTCCTTAAAGATTACTTGAGGTTACTTCCTTAAAGGTTACTTGAGGTTATTTCCTTAAAGATTACTTGAGGTTATAATTTTTCTTAGTAATTCAGTCAAGTGTATCTAATGTGCCTATCAAGAGTAGTCTTCCTCCAGTTTTACCCACATCTCTTTTGCAAAGTGCCAAGGTAATTCAAAAGTCTTAATTTTTGTCCAGTGTGTAAGCAGTTTGTCCATAAGTGTATTAATTTTTCCCTGTTTAATTGTTGTCCTTTGGACTTTCTTATGTAAAGACATCCTATATTAAACACATACACGCGCACACACACACACACACACACACACACACATACACATACACACAATGTTTCATAAATATTGAGTGGAACAGCAGTGCTAAATCCCTCTTCAGGTTTCTAATGCACATAATATATATAAGACATGATTTTTCTACATCTGATATTCACTTTTTAAATCCCTGAACCAAGTTATTGTATGATTCCACTGCACTTCTCCTGCATATAGTTATTTTCCATTTTCATAGCATTAAGACCAAGAGTCAAGCAGTGTAAAGGAAGTGCCTATCTTGAGATACACAGATGCAGTAATCATAGGAGGAAGGGAATGGAAATCCACTATCAAAAACTTGTCATCATTCCATCTTGCATTATTTTAAGTCTCATAAATTAGAGAGGAAGATTCACCAGGCTAGAAACCAAAATGCTGAACCTAAATTCTGAACCTAGATTTTGTTCACTAAAACTGTGTCTTCATCCATGTTGCAAAAATGCCTTGTGTTTTCACATACTCAATTGTAGAATAACTAGCTAAATAAATTTTTTAGTAGATTGCTAATGTAAGGATGACTGGTTTGCTTAAGCAGATTAAAATTATCATGACATAATTATAAAAATGTCTGCCAAGTGAAAATGTTATGAAAATAAATGCAAGTTATTCGACCCATTTGAGGCCTTTGATAATATATGAACACCTAGACATGAGATTTTCATGTTGTTTATTTCACCTGATTAGAGAGGTTTGCACCCAACGTTTGTTTTTGCCATCGATAGTTGAGAGAAAGCAAGATATGCTTATGATTCAATTTATTTACTACAAAAACAATGTTTTAATTAGCAAATGATAAACTATTGTCTTCCTTAGAGGTTTTATATATATATATATATATTTTTTTAAAGTTATATAACTTTTAAGTAAAAATTATGACTTTGCCACAGTGCTTTGCTTATCTGAAAGACTGTTCTTATCTCTCCTGTATGTGAATCATACTATGACCCTTCTTGACTCTTGTCATCAGTGTTCCAGCTTGGCCCCAGATGCTCAAATGAATGGTGTTAATTACTGCTTTAATGTCTGACGGTTACTTTGTGAAGATGGGATATTTTATTTTAGCTCTTTGAAGGTTTTCCTTGGCCTTTGGACAGAACTTTGATAAAATCTGTTTTCCTGTGAGATATGAATTTTCCCCTAAATTTGCTCGATGAGGAGCTGTGCTGATAAGAAATCTTACAAACATATGTCTCAGTGGAGAAAATAAGGGGCCGAAAGAAGAAACATAGCTGGGGGGAAGAGGTGGAGAGTGGGAAGGGTGGCTGTCCCTGAGCATAGACTTCAAAGTTGGTACTTTTAAAGTCATCTGTCAAGCATACGTTTTCATGGTGGCTGAGAGACTAGAATAAGATGTTAGCGGCAGAAAGGCCAAAGCAAGAGTAGGAGAAGGGTAGGGCACATAGTCGGGGAGCGCATTGTTTTTTGATTCTACTCTCCTGCTCCAACTAATTGTGCGGGAACCCCGGGCTGTCCCCCTAAACCTGCCCAAGCACCCTTATCCTAAATGTTAGCACCTAGTCCCTCCTCTGGTTAGAAGTCATCGAGCTACAGCCCAGGCTTCCCCTCTTGCAGAGCTCAGTTTATCTTTTTCAAATATAATGTTTTTCTTATTGAAATAGTGAATAGCATTTTCTAACTACCTAGTTTCGTGGATGCTGTTTTGTGACCTTGCTAAAGTCAAAGATGACTCTTTTCTAGGAGAGGTCAAACTTACTTCTTTTAAAATAAAACAATAAGATGGAAAATTTAGATCACCAAGCGACTGAGAGCAGGTGAGGGGTTGTCTTCACTCCAGTTCCCTTTATTTTTTATTCAGAACCATATTAAAAGCACTCAGCCCTCTGCTGGTGAAATGTCTTTATATTTTCCACAAAAGACTAGGTGGTTTTGAACACACCCTCTCCCAGGAGAGTTGGAGACATAAAGTGTTTTCCTTCAATTGTCCAATACTTTTAAGGGAGGGGTCTTTTGACTCCTTTAATTACTTCTTCTCAGAGAAAAATAGACAATTATAAACAAGCATTACTGTTGTTTCATTTGAAGAGGTTTTGCTAAACAGTTTTTTTATTTTCTTCCTTATTAATAGCATTAAATAGCACATAAAATGTTTTGGGCGATTTCTTGCAGGAATTTGTGGGTTATACACATATTTGCTATCTATGCATAATTGATCACTCTGGGAAAGGTGCCTATGGACCTTCGTGTGCCTTGAGAAAAAGAGAAAGCCATCACAGAATGTCAATACCATTTATAGTCCTCAATATAGTAAAAGCAATGAGTTGTATGGCAAATTTAGGTATTTGATAGAAAGTCTCCCAAGACAATCAACACTTTTGTACTTTCCTACATAAAAAGGACAGATGAGTGGGATATGTGGTCTGGTATTCACCTCCTAAGGCACAAGGGAGATAAATCACTTGAGACCTTTTGTTTTTGAAGGAACATAGACATACTAATTTAATAAGAATATCAATTTGATAAGAATAACAATTATGAACAGACGAAATCACCTTTGACCTCAACAGTTCATAGACTACAATCTCTGTATTGTATTTATACTGTTATTCTAATTTCAATGTTTCTGCATGTTTTGTTAACTTTCTAATGTAATGGCAAATTCACTAGTCTGATTTCGATTGAGGGAGTTCATAATACAGGCAGATTCCAATGAAAAACTACAAAGCTGCTTTTCTTCGTGCCCTTTCAATCCACCACCTCCAGAACTGTTCAGATCTCCCAAGCAAGGGAGCCTTATAGCCTGGTGCAGTCTAGTCCCTTGCGATGCTGAATCTGTTCTCTTGTTTTCCATCCTTCTCCAAATACTTATCAGAACCTTAGTGAAGTTAGGGATGACTTTCTTGAAATAGTCCCAAGTTGGGATCTTTTAAAATAAACAATGAGATTTGGGGGTCACTGTGAAAGATAAATAATCAGTTGTCAGGGTTTTCAACTTTAATTTCTTTTTTAGCATTTCTCTTTATTTTTTGTCTTAAACAATATTTTTAAACGTCCTGGGAGAACACACACTGTTTTCAGTTATTTGCTCCTAAGATGCCTATCTTTATCCTTTTCCTTTTCCTTTTCTAAAAGTCTGGGCAATTTTGATTCCCCCATTTTTGGTGGGCTTGAGGGTAAAAGTGGGTTTCACATTTAAAATCGTCAAATTATTTAATATGAAGAGATGTTTCAGCCCCCTTTTATTACCTACCTCATTCTAGCAGGGTTTTATTGAGGACGCTCTGAAACGACGATCATAATTGATAACGCTATTGGCTTCCCATAAGAAGGGGAAAGTCATTCATTAAATGCTGAGCATTAGAGGGTTTCAGATTTATAAAGAGACCCAAAAACTTCCCAAGCGGGTGTGTGCAGGATAAGTGTCCTTTGATTTCCTTGCCGCAAATGACACTGCTGACGCTCTCGCTTGTCTCTTTTTTGTCTTCCATGGACCTTTACCGTACGGAGTGTCCTGCTGTCTGTGCCCAGTCCTCTATCTCTTTTCCGTAATCCTCTCCCTCCTCCCTCTTCATCAGTGTAGACATACCCCAGGATCTCACATAATTTCCTCCCACCTAATTTACCCCGGGGTGGCATTTATCCCCATATTTCCTACTGCTACCTGGATGCCCATGGCAAAAACTTCTCTCTCCCTAGCACTTTTCATATCCCAGGCCTGCATTGCCAACTGTCCTTTGGAGACCTCACATAATATCCCAAAACTCCATCAGGCCAAAATACACCCTTCTCCCCATGTAAACACATCCCCACCTGCAGCCCTTCTGAGCCTTCTATTCCTGTTTATGACATCACCATCCTCTGAGAGACAGCCTTTGAGCATATTCCAAAGCCCCTTCCCCTAGTCCTTCCACCTCTTCTGTAATATGTCACAATATCCCTTGGGCCAGATCTTCATTACTTCCCATCTGGATAGTTAAAGCATTTTCCTGTTTGGTCTCTCGCTCACAGTCTCCCCTCTTCTAATCCACCCTACCCAATGCCAGTGAAAGGCTCTCCCTGTGGTGCAGCTCTCCCAAAACAGCATTCATACTGATCGCCCAGCCCCCAGACTTGCCGCCCAATTCAATCTCCAAACTGCTGTCAGAGTGATGCAGCTAAAATGCCAATCGGTTTGTGTTTCTTACCCACTTAAAATGCTTTCAGTGGCCCTCCTTTTTCCTTGGGATCGAACCAAAATTGCTTGGTCTGGAGTCACTGCCCTCTCCATCGCCTTTGCTTAAATGATTCCAACATTATGGAGGATGAAGTCAAATGAGCTAGCCCTCCTGAAGCTAGTTTAAGTCCTTTGTACTGAATATGTGTTCAGTAATAATGGATTATTACATTAGTTTTTGAGAGAAGAGTACATGTTTGTCTCTGCATTCCTGAGCAGCTAGGACAGCATCCCTGGAGTGAGTGATCAGGTTACCCCCAACCCCCAAATGAGGTCAACTCCGAGAACTGTAAGACCTGGTTGCAATCTACCTTGCGAGCCTTTCTGTACATTAATTTCTCTCACAAAATTCTGCTTCAGCCCAGTAGCCTCCCTGTCAGTCTCTGAACACATGGTGCATGTCCGTGAACGTGGATCTTTTGGGACCGTCAATCTGAGTGTCTACATTCTCCATCCTCCAGCAGCCAAAACAACAATCCCTCAAGTCTATTTATAGGCTGACACTTTCTTTGAGACCTTCTAGGATTCTCTAAATTGAATTTAATCTATCTTCTGAATTAATAAAGTTCTTTCAGTCTTTTTTGCCACTTAATGAGTTGTTTTGGTATGCCGTTACCTCCTCAATGTAAGCTCAGTGAAAGAAAGAACATAGCATAGATGATCAGACACCCTATGGTTGAATCCCAGTTCACAGCCTGCTAAGTGACCTTGGGCAAGTCTCTCAACTTCTCTGACCTTCTTATTTACCAAGCTGTGATTTCTTTTATATAGGTTTACAATCTACTAAGGTACATTTTAAAAGGTACTAGTGTACCATAATAACTTATTTGACTTTTGTGTTTTACTTATAACTTAACAAATTACTTCACTTGATAAATATTTGATGAGTGAAGGAAGCAAGAAATTAACATTTCCCCGGCATTTTTCTTGTCTTGAACGAAACATAGGGATTTAAATTAGTATTTAGACATCGAGTGTTATACCAGACAAGCTTATGTTTTGAGCAATCTTTAAGCTTTATAAACTGTGGACTTAGATTTAATTGCTTAGTTCAACATCCTGGAAGGCTAGATATAGAAATCTTTCTCTTTTGTTGTGTCACTATTTAGTTTTTTGGCTTCATTCCAGACTCATAATTGTATGTCTCTTCCTATAGAAAGTATCTCCAGAATAGTAGCATCAGGACAAGGCTTTTTGTGATGCTGGTGGTTTTGTTTTTTATTTTGTTCTGTTTGCTTAAAACTTCTCAAGTTAGCCGCTAAAATTTTAGGATCCTGCAGTATTTTTCTACACTGCTTACTTATCTGTGTGGTTTTTGCTTCCTGGTTTTTAGTTGCTCACTTAATTCCAGAGTTTAAGGAGACCTCTTTGGTCCCAGATATTTAAGACAATCAAAAATGTCTTATTTAACTTGTTCTGAACATATCTTTTTATGTTGGTTTCCAGTAATAGTATATTATTCTGCATGTCCAGACAGTAACTTCTCTAAATATTTGCAAAATATGGTGCAGGAAGAAATGAAAAAAGGAAGGTGGAATTTTGCTCATACTAAAGTGTCAAACTCCAAGTTCAGGGATTTGATTCTGCTCCCTAAGCCTGCCTCTTTCACTGTTCATACAGTATCTAGGTGGAATATAAAAGGAATGAGGTAGATATAGTGGCTTTTGTCTCTTTTTGTGGAAAATTCCTTTTGATAACTCAGATGATGGGGCATGATGATTCAGAAACAGACAGCAAGAATGTTGGTTCTAAGACTGCCATGTAAAAGCCAATGTTGTCAATGTGCTGAGTTAATAAAAGTCATATTTCTAATGTTGTTATTGTGTACTCTAGCAAAAGTTAGTACTTCTTACTAATTCATAGACTGTCATGAGAAAAGCAACAAAATCTATAAATGAAGCCATTAAGTACATACATAATGGCAGGTTCAAGACCAGCCTGGACAACTTGGTGAGACCTCATCTCTACAATAGATCAAAAAATTAGCTGGCCATGGTAGTGCATGCCCATAGTTCTAGCTACTTGGAAGGATGAGGCAGAAGGATCACTGGAGCTCAGCAGGTCAATGCTGGGGTGGCTGTGAGCATGCCACTGCACTCCTACCTGGGCAACAGAGTGAGACTCCAACTAAGAACAAGAAAGTTTATGCATAATGGCAGATAGAAATAGAATCGCATCAACAGAATTCTTACCAACCTCCAAACTCATTAGCAAGACAGCGACATTCTCATAAAATAGCATCATCAGAAACACTCTGAGGAACTGCGCCTTCTTAATTTTTACTGCAACGATATTCTCCATTAAAAACAACCACCTACTCCCTTAGGTCAGACCTACCAAATAAATGACCTTTGCGTAAATGGAAATATTTTCAGAAAAGCTTGTGTAAGAGTATACAAAGGCGTCGTTCCAGTTTCTACAAGTGTCCATATTGGCAAACATGGTGAACACAGCATTACTGTATACAGTAGAGGCTTAGGCTGGAAATAGTTCTCATTAATTGCTTGATTATGTCCTCTGGAATATGAGAGCCTATCTGACATACTTTGTGCTGTTTCATTCTTTTCTCCTCACGGTAGGCGATTGGTGTTCGATTGAACGAGCTGTGCCACGGAGAGAGTGAGAGCCCGGCCAACCTGCTGGGCCTCATTTACGATGAGGAGACCAAGAGGAGACTGAGAAAGGAGGATGAGGAGGAAGACTTTTTAGATGACAGTAAGGAGACTCCCTTTACTACAAGAACCCTTGCTTGTAAGAACCTCTGCTTAAGGAGCTCTTAATATTTCTCCTTCCTCTTTCATCTTCTTACCACCTTCCCATGTCTCCCCACTGCACCCATTCCCCCTTTCCCTGAGCGTGGTATAAAACCTGGACATAAAGCCACAAAAAGAGAAGGCAGATCCAGAAAGAGAAGAAGACAGACGGGGGCAAGGAGCTACAGGCAATGTAGAACACCTATTACTTTTTAGTCTCTGACTCTTGCTACAAAGATTAGTATTTGGCTTCTCTGAAAGAATATAGTTGTGGAAAATCGCTGTGTCAGAAGAGATTTTGTTTTGTTATTGCTCTAGGAAACCAGGTCAGACCAGATTGAACATGAAATGCTTTCCAAATCACTAAAATATATCACAGAATATATTATAGTACTTAATGTGGAACTTAAAAAATAGTCAGAAGTTGCTAGAATTGTGTCTGCTGTATTGTACAGACATCTTAAATTTAGAACAGAGTTTCATCACGGAAGAGTAGAGACAAAGAGATTCCCGTTATGTCCTCCTCGAACACCATTTTTTGCATACATGTGCTCTGTACCATACAAGCTTGTGTGTATGTACAACCCTGCCTTTTATGGAATATGAACTTCTAGTTATGGTTATAGAATTCATTTCTCTGTATGATGAAGATAGTGAGCTATCTTCCTCTTGACCTTCCCTTGTTATTTAAAATTCAAGCTCCCTGCTTAAATTTTAGTTTGTCCTTTGTTAGGTGATGTCTCGCCAACTCCATCCCTGCAATTGGGAAATGTAAAAGGGTGGATAGAGTGTAACATTGGGCAGAACTAAATAATAAATCAAAGAAAACTCTTATGGTCTTCTTTTCCACTTTCACACCAAAGTTGTTGGGTTTTTTTTTTTTTCATTTTAAAGTCATTTTGTCTCTTCTAAGACCTTATCAAGTCAGAGCAAATTTTCTTGGTGTAGCTGTTGACGAAACGCCAAATTTTCACATTAATCTGCCATCCTAATGATGAGTGTTGGCCTAAAAGATAGTCTCAACTATCTTAGAACGACTTGTGGAATTGGGTCTGAGCCATAGAAAGACTTGAGATTTATCCGGCAATCACAGAACATAATGAAGGTCATCCATAGGCCCATCTAGCCAGAAGGCATCCCCTAGCCACCCTGGATCTTCCAGGAACCCTTCAAAACAGAGAGAAGCTGAAGCATCATGAAAAGGAAACGTCCTCTCAGGCCAAAACAAACTCACATCTCCATTAGACCACATGAATATCATTATAATATATTAGCAGATATATTCGCATTTACCATATTAGCTTTTTGTTGAAACCATATAGAACTTCATCCTTGTTTGTTGTAACAGAGTGCTTGATATGATAGTCATGAGGGAGCCTGGACAAAGAAGACTTAAGTTCACTGTCTGCAGTACGGAAGAGTTTGGATGATAACCCCAGAAGTGAAAGGACAGATCCAGAAGTTTATCATGAATGTCTAATGTTTAATTATGTTTTAGCAAGTGCTGCATATCCAGATAATTTTTAGTCACATAGCTTCCATAAGACATATATAAGATTGCTATGCCTAATTTAGTTCCACTCTCAAGTCAATGTATAGCTCATCTTGCTTTTTGTTTTTAGTTGGGGTCTTACTCTGTCGCCCCGGCTAGAGTGCAGCAGCACAATCATGGCTCACCGCAGCCTCGCCCTTCTGGGCTCAGGCAATCTGTCTGCCTCAGCCTCCTGAATAACCGGAACTGCACACATGCACCATCATGCCTGGCAAATGTTATTTTTTTATTTTTATTTTTATTTTTTGTAGAGACAAGGTCTTGCTATGTTGCCCAGGCTGGTCTCAAACTCCTGGGCTCAAGCAATTTTCCTGCCTCGGCCCCTCAAAGTGCTGGGATTACAAGCTTGAGCCACCATGCCTAGCCTGATCCTGCATTTAAAAGCTAATTATAATGTAAGCAACTTTCTGTCTGCAAATTCTGCAGAAGCTTATCTTTTCCATTCTTAATGAGAGGCAAAGTCCTCAGCCACATATTAACTCTGGAGAGAAAAATAATAGTTTTCGTGAGGAAACAATAGCTTAGATATATTCAGAAAGACCATAATTTCTACCTATTGTCAACTGAAAACACAAAGTATGTATTCTAGTCAAAAAAGAAAGCCTAACACCCAGGAAACATTTAAGAGATATTTTTAGGATATTGTGATTGCTTGATGACTTGATTCATTCAAAATAGACAACGATTTTCTTTTTTTTATGAGAGGCAGAGCTCTACATGGCTTTGATCTTTTCTGAACACGGTTAACAATCAGTAAATTTCTGTGTTTTGTGATGACACACTTCTGAAAACTAATCTAGAGAATTTTAAAAGTCACTATGGTGTTGACATGTCCATTATCTGTTTATAGAGTAAAGTCTGTTAGTTGGCCTATGAGGATACAATGTTTTACTCATTGGAAAACCAGCATTCTTCAGAGTGAAAGAGAATATTCTTCTAGTGTGTAACAGGCTAGCTTGCATAAACTATATGATGTGGGTGATCAGATAAGTATGTCTTGTCTGTGTTGCGGAAACACATCAGAGCTAGAGCTGAAACAGCTTCGCTACCCTTAGAACATCAAGACAGGCATCCTTCATAAATAGGGTGACAGGATTTTGTACTTCTAAATCTAATTCACTGTTATAAACATATTCTAAATCTGATTGAAAAACAGTGTGGAAATCTAATAAGGCTGCTTCTCATTTCTGCTTTCATAAAAGGTTTTCTAGTTTAGTAGGAGTTGCATTGTGTTACTCTGTGATGCATTAAGGAAAATAATTTGGTCTTGCTTACTTGACCTCTTAATACTGAAGCACTCTTTATAGAATTGGAGGAGGAAAAGAGTAGGGTAATGCAAGATTATGCTAAATGGAATAGGTACATTGAAATTATATAGGTGAAATCCTCATATGAATTTGATTTTGGACATGAATAGGTAAGAGTCTCATATGCAATTTGGTTTTACATATGTATATAGCTGTGTCCATCAAACCGTGCCTCTCTGTATTTTTATTGGCTTGTCTTTTTATGAAAGAACTCCTTCATTCCATAGGTACTGTGAACCCCTCTAAGTGTGGTTGCCCCTTTGCCTTGAAGATGGCAGCATGCCAGCTTCTCCTGGAGATCACCACCTTCCTGCGAGAGACCTTTTCCTGTCTACCCAGACCTCGCACCGAGCCTCTGGTGGTAAGTTCAAGCATGCATGTTAATAATAATAGTCGGGTTACTTGGAGAGGCCAGATGTGGCTAGGCTTTCAGTATCCACAGTTTCCTCAAATGTCTGGTGGCTAACGCATCACATAATTAAATAATTCAACCAGGGAATTTTCATACTTGAGACAAATGCTCTTTTTTAAATTAAAATAATAATAATAACAACAACAACTCCATAGCTGGCCTAGAAATCACTAAAGATAGTGCTATTAGATACAAGGCTTGATTGATCACTATCAGTTATACAGGGAATAGCTAAGAGCTGTAGGTTTCTTTACTGTACAAAGTATGAAGAATTTTATGGCTAATGTGTTCCAGAACTCACCAGTGGAGTTTTGTTTTTAGCTTTGGGTTAAAAAAAATTTTTCTTGGTACTAACTGCTCATAAATCTGTACAAAAATGTGTTTCCTTGGCCAAGCACAGTGGCTCACACATATAATTCCAGCACTTTAGGAGGCTGAGGTGGGAGGATTACTTGAGCCCAGGAGTTTAAGACCAGCCTAGATAATATAGCAAGACCATGTCTCAACAAAACATCAAAAAATTAACCAGCTGTGGTGGTGTCCACCTGTAGTCCTAGCTAGTCCAGAGGCTGAGATGGAAGGATGGCCTGAGCCAGGAGGTCAGGGCTACAGTGAGCCATGACCATGCTACTGCACTCCAGCCTGAATAACAGAGTAAGACCCTAATACCCCCCCCCAAAAAAAGCTTCCAGTGAGCACTCTCATGTAAATCATGAGTGAAAAGAACTCAGTGTTTAATGTCTAAACATCTCCAAAAGTATATTGTGAGTGCTGTAGCATTTCTACTGTATCATGGACAGACAGAAAAAAGATCACACAGACACACACCTTCATTTGCATACATACTCATTCGGCATGTACCATCAGGGCCTGATTTGTGTAACCAAGGATACAAATACTTTGTAAGAGCCAGGAGTCTTCAGAGAGTATATGGTACAGGGACACAGGTTGGAGGTGATTTTCCTTGGCTGAGTTCCCTTGTGGTCACCAAGTTTCCAGTGGTTCTTTTATCATAGGCATCATTCTTCTGGAGCTGAGGAACAAGACTAATTTCTTTTTGTAAAAAATTTTTTTTACACAAGACTTACACCCCTCTCCCAGAAAAAAAATGTTACAGTGACAATCTATGTGCTTACACTAAAGTGAAGTTTACAGCCCACCACCTCTCCTGGTTTTTAATCCCAAGTCAACATGAGTAAGACTGTTTTCCAAGCAAGGCCATGCTGGGACAAGGGTTAGGGACTAGGGGTTATGTAAAAGAATCGATGCTCTGGCGTCACTGAGCAGTACACCTAGCATTCTAGGAAACCCGTTTCCTCACACCAAACATGAAATGAGTATTTTCAAGTCAGAAATATTTATAAGTAAAAGGTATATTTTTCAGGAGAAACATCCACGTTTGGACTGTAAAACTGTACCATTTGGCTATGGGAAAGGGAAGCTTCTCCTACTGCCCTTATGTAATTTCATATTAATCTGGGCTTTTAATTTTCTGAATTGTCACTCTCACTATTACGTTGAGACTAGGCTATCAAATCAAATCAAAGCCACCTCTCAGCACGTGCGTTTAGTCTCAAGTCAAGTATCATATAATATTTGATCTGTAGGACTCTATCAGTATTACCCATATCAACATTCTAATGATATTGAGTCTTCATAAAAGCACAAAGCACATCCATTTACTTTTATGTTTTCAAATTTTTATTGGTCACCATTTTGATCCAGTGTGATAAAAATGTAAGACTCTTAAAGTTTGACTGAGTTGTTTTTGCTCTCCTTTTCAATTCTGTAGGCAAGAGTTGAATGATTCTCATTATTGTAGCACACTTTATTTGTTTACTCAATTAAATCTGAAAAATTACAATGTAACCATTATGAAGTAGGACCTGCAGTTATTCATTCAACAGAAGGATGTTTTGATTTTTTTTTACTTCTCCATCACCATTAACTAGGTCCCAGCAATCTTTTATTCAGTATACGAAGATTTTCAGTAAGTATAGGTTTATGTGTCATATTGGAATGTGACCTTTACAATATAAAGAATAAAAGCTTTTTCACATGTTTAAGTTATCTAACTACAGCTGATATTAATAAAACTCAAGCCACATTCTAATTTTCTGAAATATTTTACTAACAAAAAAAATGCTTGACATCGTTCTCGACGGTGGTAAAAGTAGTTAACAGGACATCTTTCCTCTCAACCAATGTTTAAGTATATAATACATTATTGTTTTCTTTAGGTATAATCCTGCATAGCAGATCTCTAGAGCATTTTCATCTTGCTTGACTGAAATCTTATGCCAGTTTGAATAACTCCCCTTTGTCCCCTCCCCCGGCCCCCAGCCCTGGCAACCACCATTCCACTCTTTGATTTCACAAATTTGACCAGTTTAGGTAATCATTCATATACATGGAATCGTGCCGTGTTTGTCTTTCTGTGAATGGCTTACTTAACTCAGCATAATGTTTTCAAAGTTCATCCATGTCACTGTGTATGGCAGAATTTCCTTCTTTTGTAAGACTATATCGTTTTTTAAGAAATCATACTAAACAGCAAATCTACAGGATAAGCATAAATTTGCTGAATGAAATAGTCTAAAGTTTTAACGGAAACACTTGCTGCAAGGGTATTTATAGACCTTAGGGGTGTTTATTAGTTCAGTAGCACATTTAGTGCAATAAAAATAAATTGCTACCAGGATGTACAGATAATATATGATAGCATAATAATAATATTAGAAACTATAAATACTCTGATATCTGAAGCTTTGGGGTGAGAGAGGTTTGGGAATGCAAGCTTTCTACTGACAAAAATTCTTTCTGGTAGAAATGCCATCATGCCATTGCCAAATTGGAAGTTTTCCATGTGAAAGATTTGTTTAAAAAAGTCTTAGTTGCACTCCAAATGTGAAAGAAAAAGTAAAAGAACTTTAAGCACAATAATTAAAACAAAAGTGAATTTGTTTAACCGCAGCTATTAGATAGGATCAGGAAAACCCAGGAAGGCACTGAGTTAGCGGGAAATGCAGATAAAAGAAAAAGAAAAATTATGTCAAAGAGTATGAAAATGTTTTTGAAATACAATTTACTAACTTAATTTTTCCCAGATGGATCCCCAGATGTAACTTAATTACTATGCTTTTTTCTCCAAAGAAACAACTTCTAGTAGCATTTTTATTCACTCTTTGTGTAAACCATACAAATAAATTATGTCTAAAAAAAAGAAGGCAGCATTTTTATGACTCACAGTCTAAAACAGCATAATAATCAAATTTTTCTCTAAATATTACCTTCAAAACTTGAGAACAATAAAGGAATATTTTTTAAATTGAATTTTGCTTATAAAACTGCTGGTCTATTAAAATGTTTTCCAGTTGTTTAAAATAATAAATTTTATGTCATGTGAATTATATCCAAAAAATATAGAAAGTCACAAAAGTAAAATAATAAATAAAATATAACTTCATAATCAACATAAATATTGTTAATATTTTGGTATATTAAATATACATATATTTTTTCTTTTATCTTGGTGCATAACAGAAGAAAAGGAGATATAGTTGTAAATATACTGCTTGCAAAATTTTTTAATCCTGTCTGTTTACTTAACAGTGATGCATAATTTTCTTTTTTTTTTTTTTTTTTTTCATTAATCAGTATTTTTTATTATGGTTTTGTGGGGTACAGTTAAGGGTTAGGTGTACAATGACGTTTCATT